GGTAGTAGAAGGAAGAAGATAATTTAGGTCCTACAATTAAGGGTCCTGGTTCATCTTGTTAAAACAATTACTTTGTCCTATAGATAAAGGAACCATAACATACAAAAAGGTTTTCAAAAAGTATGTGGAAAAGGAGTATTGTGAAAAAAGGATGGATTTCAAAATCCAGAGTAAACTTTCTTTTAAATGTTTTCCATGAACTTTTTTTTAAAAAGATTTATTTATTTGAAAGTCAGAGTTACACAGAGAGAAAAGGAGAGGCAGAGAGAGGTCTTCCAGCAACTGGTTCACTCCCCCAATTGGCTGCAACAGCCAGAGCTGCGCCGATCTGAAGCCAGGAGTCAGGAGTTTCCTCCCAGTCTTTCCATGCAGGTGCAGGGGCCCAAGGACTTGGACCACCTTCTGCCACTTTCCCAGGCCAGAGCAGAGAGCTGGATCAGAGTGGAGCAGCTGGGACTTAAAGCAGCACCCATATGGGATGCCGGCACTGCAGGCAGCGGCTTTACCTGCTACGTCACAGTGCTGGCTCATCCACGAACTTTTTTTAAAAAAGATTTTTTTAATTATCTATTGAGAAGTAGAATTACAAAGAAATAAAGGGAGAGAAAGGTCTTCCATCCACTGGTTCACTCCCCAAACGACCACACGGCCGGAGCTGGGTCGATCTAAAGCCAGGAGCCAGGAGCTTCTTCTGGGTCTCTCACGTGTATGTAGGAGCCAAATCACTTGGACTATCTTTGACTGCTTCCCCAGGCTATCAGCAGAGAGCTGGATTGGAAGAAGAGCAGCCAGGAATCAAACTGGTGCCCGTATATATGGGATGCCAGTGCCACAGGTAGAGGCTTAGCCCACTACGCCACAACACCGGTCCCTCCACGAACTTTTTGAAGTACTCTCATATTTCAAACATAACAATGATTAAAGAAATCCCTTTGGTAGTGAGTTATTTTCTAAGATTTGGTTATCTGAAGTAGGAATAAACAAAGATGAATCAGTCAAGAGAGAGATCATGGAAGCTTTGTTAAGATCTTAAAGAGAAATTTTAAGGTAGGCTGTATAGGACATGTATGAACTGAGAAGGTCAAAGATAAATTTGAAGTTATTGTACTGAGCAACACAGAAATTGAAGTCATTTTATACATTCAGAATGATTTATTGAGAACCAATTCCTTGTATGAATCTAAAGCTATATTGCCATATTTGAATTTGGAACAATAACAGTGCATGCAAGGTTCAAAATTTAGGAGTGCTAGTATATTAATTATAGGTTACTAGAGAAGCTCAATGTTACAAAACTATAATTGCATAGACACATGGAGTGTTAGCACTGGAAGAGTTATGATCATCTATTGTGTTGGCATTTTAAAAGGAGTACAATTGTAGTTTTTTAGATTAGTTGGTTGAGGAAATACGAGACAAAATAGTTATTAAAAGCATTGTTCAATGTTTTCTTTAATCACAGAAGTATCTGTTTATTTGAAAAATATTACATATGTGTGAGACATTTAGTTTTCAGGCATTTTATGGCATAGTGGTTAAGAACTTAGACAGTGGAGTCAGAACCTAGATTGAAAACTTTGCTTGTCAACTATAATTTTGGACAAGTTATAGCTCATCTGTTCTTCAGTTTTTTCCTCTATTAAATGTGAGTAATACTAGTACCTACCTTGTAGATCTGTCATACAGCTTATAAATGAGCTGATATGGACTAATTCTTTAATTTTGTAGTTACCATTTTATATAAGTTCAGGTACATTCAGGGTGGTATGGCCATTGATTGTAGGTACCATTTTAAATATTTGCTATTATGATGATGGTGCTGTCTTGTTACACATACAATAATTCAAAGACTTCTTATAATATGTTTTTCTTCCATTATTCTTAGATTCTTATTCTGGTGAATGATTATTGGGAACTTCGGATAACATGTAATAAAAAGATTATAAATTTGTGCTCACAGTTTTATTTCACCCACTCTGAGATCTCTATCCACCGTCTGCTGACATGTACCTTGGAATTCGAATCCCTTCTGCTTTCTCACCTGTGGTTCCTGGAAAGAATTAAGCTCCATTTGCCTAAGGAATCCTTTATATGAAGTGAATTAGCCTCTCTGTGCTACATCACCAGTCATACAGTAATGTACCAGAATCAAGTGATTTTCCTGTAGGTCAGAAGAAGAACTCCAGTTGTCAAACAATATGTAAATCAGGCCATTTTAACTGCTATATTTCATGCAGTAATGACATTGGCATTGTCTTCATCTCTCAAGTTTCCATTATATAAAAATGTATTCAGTTTCTATAGCTCTTATTAAACACACAGATAAATAAATATAGCATTTTCAAAATGGTTCATCTTTTATTTGAAAAAATCTCTTTTTTTACTGAGATCTACATTTTATTTTATGCATTTTAAAGTTTTCTCTTTCACATTCAAGACTGTAATATACCTGGAGTTCATTTTTCCATTTGGGATGATTTAGAGATTCATTTAAAATTTGCCACATGGAAAGAAAAAGAAGATGCCATTTATTTGACCAGAGAAACAGAAAGAGGAAAGATTGAGATTAAAGCAAATTGAGGTAGAAATACCAGGAGTTGTTTTCCACATGTTTGAGAAGCCCATCAGGCATCCACAGACAGATTTTAGCACTTGGGGATCTAAGTCTAAAGTTTAGCAAAGAAATTCTCAAGTAAAGATTGTGTTTAAAGCTATGTGTAATCTAGTCCACCAACACTAAGACAAGACTATTTTCCCTTAAGCTAGGCTTGGCAGATTGTTAACACCCCCCTTTGTCCCCAAAGAGACTAAATATGTTAATTTTTTACTTTTTTTGGAAAATTCAAATATTTAATGAAGGAATCAATGCAATTTTATACAAAATTTTAGAAGATAGTAACAGAAGTAGCACAACTGATTCATAATAAGGATAGCTTAACACCCTACAACACCCTAAATATACCACCAGTAAAAACCTGTGTGCAACATATCCTTCAGAAATATAAATGCAGACATTTTATATAATCCATTAGCAACCTGAACCCAGCAATACATAAGTGAAAATATAAAATGAGTTGGTTGGGCTATTTGAAGAACATGCTGTTCTTTAATTTAAGAAAAAATCTATTTATATCAACACTTAAACAGGTTATGGAGGAAAGCATGATTTTGTCAATCCTGAAACAAAGCACTGAAAACCTAAAAATCTATATAGAGGGAAACATAAAGAAATTGAATTGGGAATCAAAAGCACTTTTTGGGCAGAAATTGACAAGGAGAGTCTTTTGCCTTCATTTCCCATGGCATGATTTGTACATTGGTCTTAAAAGTCTAATCCTGTTTCCTAGCCACAATTCTGAGTCCCAGCAGTAGACATTGCTAGATTCCTTATTCCAAAGGTGTGCTGGGTTTCATAGCCGGGTTTCTCTGCCACTCCTTGCTGCATATTTTGCTCATGAAGCATTGTTGGAGACCTGAGTGTTTGGAGTGGTGTTTGTGGCACCTGAGAGAATATGGACTCTCCATTACTTTGACAACCTACACCCTGCTCCTGTGACAGAAGGAGGGTACCTGGAGCCATAAATCCTTATGACTTGGCTGTTTTAGAAGCTAATCATGGTATGGCAGCGCCTCTTGGTAATTCTGAGATTGTTGTGGCTGTGGAAAATTACTTCCCCCACCATTCTACTCTTGTTCTTAATACAGTGGGTAATGAAAATGAGTCTTCTGCTCCTGCTGCTGCCTCTTTCCCTGGGCGCTAGGAACATTGTGTACAAGGAAAACCCAGGAAGGCTGGATTTCTCTTGTCTCAGACCTGTCACTCTCAAAATACTGCACAGATGAAAAAGGATGAACAAATATTGCTGGTCCCTTTGCTGGGAGAATGGCTACCACCTGTGTTACCTTGATTCTCCAAAGTACAGTGTGGTTCCTGTTGAGTATCTAGAATCACAGAGTCACAAAATCCATAGTGTTCACAGAGAACTCTCTGTGTCTCCAGAGCAGAGTAGACAACTCTACCAGGCAGAGGCCCTGAGCACAAAATGAGGTCTGTGCAATGGCATAGTTATGAGACTGTGCTGGGGTATCCTGAAAGTTTACAACTGTGGGTTCTTGGACAGGGAACTCATCAGATTTTCCAGCAGCAAATATTCTGTATCTCTGGCTGGTAGTCTGACTGTTTTATTTTGGAGTCAGTCATCAATCACACATAAATGACAGCAGACTTGATTGGCCAGTTCTTTCCTGGTTGAAGTCAGGGTAAGGATTCTGTTCAAATGATTGATTAGGAATCTGCATTTCATCATTTGTAAATTTTCTTTCTTTCTTTCTTTCTTTCTTTCTTTCTTTCTTTCTTTCTTTCTTTCTTTTTTTTTTTTTTTTTTTTGACAGGCAGAATTAGAGACAGAGTGAAAGGTCATCCTTCTGTTGGTTAACCCCCCAAATGGTTGCTACAGCCAGCGCGCTGCGCCTATCCAAAGCCAGGAGCCAGGTGCTTCTCCTGGTCTCCTATGCGGGTACAGGGCCCAAGGACCTGGGCCATCCTCCACTGCCCTCCCGGGCCACAGCAGAGCGCTGGACTGGAAGAGGAACAACTGGGACAGAATCCGGCACCCCGACCGGGACTAGTACCCGGAGTGCCGGTACAGCAGGCAGAGGATTAGCCTAGTGAGCCGTGGCGCCGGCCCATCATTTGTAAATTTATGGTGTGATTTTTTCCTTTTCCTTTTCAATGTTGTTTCAGTTTTTGTGACTATCTTCTTCAACAGGAAATCCTGCAATAACCAACCAGGGCTGGGCTAGGCCAGAGTCAGGAGGAATGACCTCAATTTGGTTCTCTCATGTGGGGAGAAGGGAACTGACCCTTTGAGTCATGCTTTCTGCCTCCCAGGGTGCTGCTTAGCAGGAATCACTGGAAGGCTATCAGAAGTCTTCCTGAGATAAGATGATGAATTCTAGTTCAGGGTCTTTCAGAGCAATCTAATTTTCTTACATTTAAGGATCTTCAAGATGAAGTTCAAAGGGAAAATACTAACCTACAAAAACTACAGGCCCAGAAACAGCAAGTGCAGGAACTTCTCGATGAACTGGACGAACAGAAAGCCCAACTGGAGGAGCAACTCAAGGAAGTCAGAAAGAAATGTGCTGAGGAAGCCCAGCTGGTAAAATCTGTTTGCTGCTGCCTGAATCTATACCTTAGTTGCCTCTGATATGAACACATGGTCTATTTTTTGTTGTTCCTGTTCTTGTTTTGGCAAGATAGTCAGCAGTTGGGCACTGATTCCCTCACTGAGGGAGTCTGAGCAAGATCTATTCAGAAATTATAGACCCTCTTTAGTGAAACTAGAAAGGCACTTCATGTACTGTTTTCCCATGTTTGGATTCGAAGTGTGGTATCTGTGCCTACAGCTCTTCTCTATCCCACCTCCAATTATGCTTCTCTACCAAAACTCACCAAAATAATAAACTAAACAAATACATGTATTGCATTATGGAACATTTTAATGACATTTCTTCTTTTAATCCCCCTTTCTTCTCATTCACCTCCATACTTAGATCTCATCTCTGAAAGCTGAATTAACTAGTCAGGAATCACAGATCTCTACTTATGAAGAAGAATTGGCCAAAGCTAGAGAAGAGCTAAGCCGCCTCCAGCAAGAAACAGCAGAACTAGAGGAGAGTGTGGAGTCAGGGAAAGCCCAGCTGGAACCCCTTCAGCAGCACCTACAAGATTCACAACAGGAGATCAATGCAGTAAGTCTTTGTGATGCAAGAAATACGCTTAAATGAAACCTCAAAATACTGTCTGATTGCCCAATTTATTAAATTGTCTATGGTTTTCTTTTTTCTTTTTAAGACTTCTGTACTTATTTGAAAGGCAGAGAGAATTAGAGAGATTGAGATCTTCCATCCACCAGTTTACTCCCCAAATGGTCCCAATGTCAGGGGCTGGGCCAAGCCAAAACCGGCAGCCCAGAACTCCACTCAGTCTTCCACATGGGTGGCAGAGGCCCAGACAGATGGCCATCTTCCGCTGCTTCCCCAGGCACATTAGAGAGAGGAGGATTGGAAGTGGAGCAGCCAGGACTTGAACCAGTGTCCCTATGGGATGCCAACATTACAGTGGCTTGACCTGCTGTGCTACAACACCAGATCCAATTTTTCAGTTGTTTTCTATGAACAGGTTTCTTGTCACTTGTTACATTGTTACATGTTGCAAAAGACTTTTTTTTTTTTCTAACAGCTGAGTAGTACTCCGTGTATATACCAGAATTTCTTTCTCTGGTCATCAATTGATGGACATCTAGGCTGATTCCATATCTTAGCTATTGTGAATTGAGGTGCAATGAATAGAGAGAGTACAGATTAACTCTTTTATACGCTGATTTTCTTTTGGTTTGGGTAAATTCCTATGAATGGGATGGCTTTATCATGTGGTAGATCTGTATTCAGATTTCTGAGGTATCTCCATACTGTCTTCCATTGTGGCTGGACCAGTTTACATTCCCACCAACAGTGGATTAGGGTACCCTTTTCCCCACATCCTCATCAGCATTTGTTGTTTGTTGGTTTCGGCATGAGAACTATTCGTCTATCTCTTTACTGTTCTTTTTCCGCAGCCAGAGTGGGACAGTTGAGAGAGACAGACCGGGGAAACGTTCTCCCTTTGCCGTAGATTCACCCATCCAATGGCCGCCCGCCGCCACATTCGGGCGGGCCCCCGCTTGGTTCCATGCCAAACCCAGAAGCCAGGCCTTTTCCTGTTCTCCATGGGGGCAGGCCCCAAGAACCGGTCCTTACTCCACTCCCTCCCCGCCCCCACCAGAGGCCTGGCCTGGAAGAGGGGCAACCGGGACAGAATCCGGCGCCCCGACCGGGACTAGAACCCGGTGTGCCGGCGCCGCTAGGCGGAGGATTAGCCTAGTGAGCCGCGGCGCCGGCCGAGAACTATTCTAATTGGGATAAATAAAAGCTCATTCTGGTTTTGATTTGCATTTCCATGATGGCTAGAGATCCTGAGCATTTTTTCATGTGTCTATTGTCCATTTGAATTTTCTCTTTTGAAAAATGCCTGTTTGGGGCCGGCGCTGTGGCTCAATAGGCTAATCTTCCACCTAGTGGCGCCGGCACACCGGGTTCTAGTCCCAGTCGGGGCACCGGATTCTGTCCCGGTTGCCCCTCTTCCAGGCCAACTCTCTGCCGTGGCCCGGGAAGGCAGTGGAGGATGGTCCAAGTCCTTGGGCCCTGCACCTGTGTGGGAGACCAGGAAAAGCACCTGGCTCCTGCCTTCAGATCAGCGCGGTGCGCTGGCCATAGCACGCCAGCCGTGGCGGCCATTGGAGGGTGAACCAATGGCAAAAGGAAGACCTTTCTCTCTGTCTCTGTCTCTCACTATCCACTCTGCATGTCAAAAAAAAAAAAAAAAAAAAATGCCTGTTTGGGGCTGACACTGTGACGCAGCAGGTTAAAGTCCCAGCCTGCTGCACTGGCATCCCATATGGACGCCCACTGGAGTCCTGGCTGTTCCACTTCTGATCCAGTGCCCTGTGAATGTGCCATATGGGAGACCCAGAAGAAGCTCCTGGCTTCTGTTCAGCTCATTTCTGGCCGTTGCAGCCATTTGGAGAGTGAACCAACAGGTGGAAGACACACCTTGCTCTCTCTCTCTCTCTCTCTCTCTCTGTGTGTGTCTCTGTCTCTGTCTCTATCTCTACCTCTCTCTTTCAAATAAATAAAAATAAATCTTTAAAAAAAAGAAAAAATTTACTGTTCAAGTCCATTGTTCATTTCTCAACTGGATTGTTTGTTTTGTTGTTGCTGAATTTCTTGAGTTCTTTATAGATTCTGGATGTTAACTCTTTATCATTTGTGTAGTTTGCAAATGTTTTCTCCCATTCTGTCAGTTGCCTCTTTGCTGAGTGTTTCTTTTGCAGTGCAGAAGCTTCTTAGCTTGATGTGATCCCATTTGTCAATTTTGGCTTTGGATTGCCTGTGCTTCTGGGGTCTTTTCCAAGAAGTCTTTGCCTATACCAATGTCTTGCAAAGTTTTCCCAATGTTCTTTAGAAATTTGATGATATTGGGTCATGGACTGAGATCTTTGATCAGTTTTGAGTGGAATTTTTGTAAGGTGTAAGGTAGAGGCCAGGGCCAGTGGGATAACACCCTGGCCTGAAGCGCCGGCATCCCATATGGGCGCTGGTTCTAGTCCTGGCTGCTCCACTTCCAATCCAGCTCTTTGCTATGGCCTGAAGAAGCTCTGGAAGATGGCCCAGGTCCTTGGGCTCCTGCGCCCACATGGCAGACCAGGAAGAAGCTCCTGGCTCCTGGCTTCAGATCGGCATAGCTCCAGTCGTTGCGGCCATTTGGGGAGTGAATCATCGGATGGAGGACCCCTCCCTCCCTCCCTCCCTCTCTCTCTCTCTCTCTCTCTGCCTCTCCTCTCTCTGTGTAACTCTGACTTTCAAATAAATAAATAAATAAATCTTTCAAAAAAAAAAAAAAAGGTAGAGGTCTAGTTTCATATATTCTGCACGCGGTGATCTAGTTTGCCTAGCACCATTTGTTGAAGACACTGTCCTTGCTCCAGGTATTGATTTTAGCTCCTTTGTCAAAAATAAGTTGGTTGTAGATGTGTGGATTGATTTCTGGAGTTTCTGTTTTGAACTATCATAGGAGGGGCCCTGAGCTGAGCAGGATGCTCTTGATTGCTTCTTAGGGGGAACCGCATTTTAGGCTACTTGTCTGTATTTTCTGTGGAGGATCTTGGTCAGCATAATCTCATCACCTCTAGCTTCTCAAAGTTGTAGCACTCATACATATGGATGCTTTTTCCTGCTTTATCATTTGAAGTGGCTGATCAGATCTGTCAGCTCAGTATATATGTAGTCTTTTGGCTTGTTGGAATCTCCTTTCTGTCATCATTAGGAGAGAAAGTAGCAACAGGCTTTTTAGCAGCTAAACCTTAGTTTGAATAACTGCTCTAGCATTTAAAGTGAGTAATTTATAGTTCATTGCTCAACCAGAGAATTCACTTCCTATGCTGTTAGGACTTGGATGTGGGGACTGAGCATATGTTTTTCCTGCATCTGCACAACTTTATATAAGGTATAACCCTTAAACATTCTTTCTGTTTTTGGAGCTTACATGTTACTTGGTTAGTATTGCTGGAACATGTCTACTTAATACCACATTCTAATGCCAATGACTTGTACACTTTCTTCAGCTCTGTCTTTGCTTGGAATGTGCTATCTATGCTGACATTTAGCATACCATGCCTCAGTGGTCATGATGGTTTTACCTTTTTTATTTTCAAGCAGCTTTAGTTTAAACAACCTGGGATTACCCCCAGAAACTGTGACCTTGCCCTCTACATGATCTCCTCACTGGCTTTACCTTCACCTCAGCAGCCTGTTCAGATCAGCCTACAACAAAACAATCCCACTGAAGCAATGACAGAACACCTTTCTTTACATCAGTGAGTTAGGAAACTTTCCGCAAACAGTTGTTTCAAACCCAGTGCCATTCTCAGAGCATCCTTCTACACACATAGTCTCCCCACCTTGAGGTAGTTGGCCAACCTGTGACTGTTCCTGCACAGATACTTTACCCATTCTGATCTCCTGGATGACTCACAAATTGCCTGAGTATAGTGTTGGTGGGGTAGAGGTGTGTTTATTTTTTTTTTTTTTTTAATGCCTCCTGAGCAGAGCAGGAATTCCAAGACTGAAAAATGAAGAATGATGCTCCATAAAGAATGTAAGAGTTTTATTAAGGCAGCTTGTATATAGTATTCCAGTCTGGGCTGGCAAGTAGTCTTGGGCATAGCTGTAGCAATGTTTATTCTATGCAAAATAGTAGAGGAGGCAAAGTTTTATACTTTTACAAGTCATAAGGGAGCTGAGGGTTGGAACTTGTGTTGCAGCATTCTTTTACTGTCCTTCAAAAAGAGCCCTTAGGCATCTTACTGGCCTGATCAAAAAGGCTCATGTTTGCATTCAAATTTTATGGCTGAAGAATGGTGCCTGTTAGGCTGATAGGGGGTCAGCTTGCTTCTGAGACAGTAAGAATCAATATGGCATCACTGTGGTTTGTTGTCACACACTGAGCTATTAGAATGGTTTGCTTAAAAAAGATTTCTTTATTTATTTGAAAGTCAAAGTTGGAGGGAGAGACACAAATAGAGAGATCTTCCATCTGCTACTTCACTTCCAAAATGACTCCAACAGCCAGGGCTGGGCCAGGCCAAAGCCAGGAGCTTCATCTGGGTCTCCCATGCAGGTAACAGAGGCCCAACTCTTGGGATATCTTCTGCTGCTTTTCCCAGGCCATTAGCTGGAAGCTGGATGAGAAGTGGAGCAGCCGTGACACAAACCAGCATCCATAAAAGATGCCAGCATCATAGGCAGTGGCTTTACCCATTAAACCATAACACCAACCCCTACATTTTGCTTTTTAAATGTAATTTGTTGAATTCTGCCTTCTCTGTTCCACTGTTTTAGAAGTATAAATTCACTTGGATGATGGGATCAAAATAAAACTTTGAGCAAGCTTTATTTAATGTGTATGGCGTAGCTTAGATCTCGAGAATACTTTCTAGGGCTCTAACCCACTAATAAATAGTGCCCGAGTATGAGGGCACTAGCTTAGTTTTCTTTGGTCTTCACTACCCTCATTCCCAACAGGTGTGTGAGTGGTTCAAAGCTTCAAGGACTCTCTCTGAACTTCTTTACTTATCAAAGTTCCATCACAAAATTTCTTCTTTGTTATTTTGTTATCTTTTCCCTCAATACCTTGGCTTATCTTTTTCTAATTATACTCTAAAGCATTGCCAATCTGCAGATATTTTAGTCAGAATTCTTAGAAATTTCAAAAGATGTGCTAAAGCAAACCCATGTATACTGGAATTTCAAGAGGAGGATGTACCGGGAGAAGGTACTAAAGTCTTTCCTTGGGGTGGGCATTTGGCCTGGTGGTTAAGACACCTTAGTCCCATATTGGAGTGCCTGGGTATTAATACCTAGCTCCACTTCCTGCTAATACAGACCATGGGAGGCAGCACTGATGGCTGAATAATTCGTTTTCTGCTACCCATATGGGAGACTTGGATTTTGTTCCCACTACCAGCTTCAGCTCAAGTCTAGATTATTACAAGCACTTGGAGAGTGAACCAGCAGATGGAGCTCACTCTGTGTCTCTCTCTCTCTCTTTCAAATACATCAATTTAAAGACAAAATAAAACAAAAACTTCTAAGTCATGCTGTACTCCCAGAGGATTCTCCTTAAAGGAAACAAATTTATCCTCAACCGAATCCAGATTGATAACTGTTTTTACGTTTCATGTCTTTCTAGTAATAAATTCTGCTGTGTTTCTACTTTGTGTTGACAGATGCAAATGAAACTAATGGAAATGAAAGATCTGGAAAATCATAATAATCAATTAAATTGGTGCAGTAGCCCACACAGCGTTCTTGTAAATGGCACTACGGATTACTGCAGCCTCAGCACCAGCAGCAGTGAAACAGCCAACCTTAATGAACACGCTGAATGCCAGAGCAACCTGGAATCTGAGCCCATACATCAGGAGTCTCCAGTGAGTAATAAGTCCACATCCTTCATATTCAGCTTCAGAGAAAAGGATTAATACAGATCCAAGTGTTGTTGGCATTGTACCTAATATGAATATGTGTCCTTGCCTCATCTGAGTACAGTTAGTTTCTTTTTAGAGGCAGAGTGGATCCTGATAGAAAAATTCTAACATTTTTAAGTAATGTAAAAATAATTTTAACTGATTTATTTTGATTAGAGCACATTTTAAAACAGTATTTCTGTACATAAAGCTTTTTAAGTTTTTAAGTACCCTTACCCAAAACTGGAGCTAATTCTTTATTTCATAATGTTAGGATATAAATAATTATTTAGTGAACTCCAGCTGTGTACAAAATTGCTATATTGTATGTGAGAGCCACAAAGATGAAATACCTTTTGTCTTTGTTTCAAGCAGCTAACAGTAACATAGTGTTACATAGTAATATAGTGTTAAGGGGTCATGATAAAGAAAGCACAATATATTTAGCTAGGACAGGTTGAAGAGGGCTGAAGAAAAATTTTGTGGGGAAAGCTTTGCAAATGAACTTAGGCAGGTTGAAAAGGAATTAGGCAAAGAAGAGCATGGTACATTTCTGGCAAAGAAAATAGTAGTAGTGTAGATTCAGGGTGGGAGAAGACATGCTGCACAGAACCATGAAACGTTCTCACAGATACATTATGATGGTTGGGAGAGTATTGCTAAGAGCTGAGGCTTCCTCCTCCTGGCCATCTGCATCACATGTGGTGCCTTTATCAACATACGGAAGTATGTGCCCCACCTCATATTTGCTGCAGTACAGTTTCTAGGATCAAGCCAGGCACATACATAGATTTTTTAAAAACAAATTCCATGGATGATAATGATGTATGCTTGGATAAAAATGACTACCTTCAGGTAAGAAAGGGCCAGAGGATAAGAGATCAAGATTCATCTTGATGTGTTGGGGACTTTTGTCTAACTACAGTGAGTAGCCTTTGAATAAGTTGAAGAATGAAGTGATGTGACTAAACTTACCTGCTGGAAATGTGAAGGATAGACTGGGGAATGGGGCTATACACACAGAGCTATGTTAGGAGACTATATAGGGATAGCTTATTTGAGAGCTGTTTTGGCATCAATTTAAGCAGTAATGCAAGAAACGAGACAAAGAGAAGTTTGAGAAGTATTAAGAGTAGAAAATTCAGGCTTGATTTTTATTTAGATAGTGCTGTCATAGATACATTTTGCAATATTCTTTCAAACACAAAAGGCAGGTTACTAGGTTATCCTTTAAACACATAATGTAGTATGAAAGGGAAATTGCCCTTGCCATTTTTTCAGCTTTTTACTTTCCAACCTAAGTGAAGAAAGCAATGGGAGCCATTGAAGAAGTTTAAACTAGAAAAATCATGGTAAGATTCAGACTGAAGGTTTTATTGCTTTGGTATCTATGAGGAGGACAATTGAAAGGACACACATTGGAGGCAGGAATACAGTTGAAAGGTTACTGTAATAAGCTGAACCAGAGTATTATAAATGAATGATGGTGACAGTGAGGATGGAGAGGAAGAGTAGAGTTTGAGAAAGAGTTAAGTAGACTGAGCAAGACTTGGAGTCTTATTCTAGCTGGGAGATGACTATCAGAAAAGCAAAGTTCTTCCCTCTCTTCTCACACACAACACAGTAGACTTCTGGGACAGAAAAAGCTGTGCAGATTTCTCCCCACAAGCAAGCAAATAGCAGTTCTGCAGGAGGCATCAGCTGATGTTCCCTAGTTTGATTCAGTGGTAAGCCCATGTTGGAACCCTAGATGGCTGTAAATCAGGATTCCCACAGCTTCCTCCTTCGCTTTGATTAATTTGTGTGAGCAGCACACGTAATTCGGGGAAAATGTTTACCAATCCTTCATAAAAGATACCACAAAGAATACAGATAAAGACATGTCATGTATAGGGCAAGAGTGTGTGGGAAGGGGCACACAGCTTCTATGCTGTCTCCAGACATCCACCCTCGAGGAACTTCCCAGTGTTCAGCTCTTTTGAAGTTCCCAGAACCGTGTCCATTTGGGTTTTTTATGGAAACTTCATTACATGGAAATTACATCATTGGCTATTGGTGATCAGCTGGACCTTCAGCCCCTCTCTTAGAGGTTGGAGGTTGGGACTGAGTATCTAAAACCTCTAATCCTGCTTTGGTGTTCCCAGTGACCAGCCCATCCTGCAGCTTCTTGGGACTGCCATCTGTCAGTAAATCATTAGCATACAAAAAACCATTTATCATTTCAGAGAGTCCATGGAGTTTTTAGAAGCTGTGTGCCAGGAAACGGGGACCAAAAGCAAATATATATTTCATAATGTCACAAGGGAGGTGGTTGAAGATGACCTGAAGGTTTCTGGCCTGAGGGATGTTGATACTTTGTGACAACCTTTTCCTAAGGAAGATGACAGCAGAAGAAATCATTTGATAAATATGTTCTGCTCATCTTTTTAAATCATCATTGTTAGTCTTTGTCAGTTTTGTCAGTTTCCTCTGTCAAATATAAAAGGATGTTGTTAGTCCATGAATGTTTTGTAGGCAAGAAGTAGTCCTGAAATACCACCTTCGGTTGTGACTGATGAAAACGCAGTGGTGGCTGCAGCTGTTACTGAGAAAGTTTGTCCTGAATTTGACAATGAGAGGCATTCAAAAGAGGTAAAAATAATTTTATGTTTAAATGTTCTTGTCGCTGGTTGCCTTACGTGAATTATACACTGTTTAGGCTAAGAAAAGGAGAAAAAAATGTGTCATTATGTTCTTTATGACAACAGAAATATTTGTTGCTTTCTCAAAGCATGTGTATGATATGAATATGAATTATTTTACTTAAAAATGTTATCTTTTAACACTTTGATTCATAAAAATGTTTTATTTTAAAATTATTTTAGGAGGATCCATTTAATGCAGAATCAAGTTCACTGACAGATCCAGTTGCAGATACAAACTTAGATTTTTTCCAGTCTGATCCTTTTGTTGGCAGTAAGTACTCTTTCTTCAATAATACAGGTTTACAAAACAGACCCTTTAACATATAAACTGTATAAGAATTAGAGCTTCAGTTTTGAGAGCATCCTTGTTAACAACAGAAGTGGAGGTGAGAGTAAGGGTTTATGTGCTTAGTTTTACTAGTGTTTATCCTCTATAGGCAACTAAATCCTGGGACTAAGTTGTTGATTATTTTTCCTTAGGAGTTCTTAGTTAAGAGTATGTTTCTTCTTCAGAGTAGGAACCAAAGGAAAAAAGTTAGAGACCAGTAGTGGAGATTTGATGCTTTTAAGTCAACCAGTAATCATTTAAAAATGCCAGTACTGTGTTTTTAAAACAGTAGAAACTATAAAAGATCCCTTCCCTTATTGCTTTTATATCTTACTGGAGAAAACTAACTTTGATAAAGTCACATGTCTGATGTCAATGTAAACTATATTAAAACAATGTTCCTTTACCTTTTACCTCCAAAATCAGCTTGTGAAATTGATAAATCAGTTTAGTCTGTTTTACAATGGCAAAATAACTTGCTTAGTATTTCAACGGAAATGAGCCCAAATGTTAGAATTCTTTTTTTAAAAAAGCATACAAAATATTAAAAGATTCATTGTGCATTCAAAGTATACCATTTACTGGTTTCAGTATATTCACAATTGTATGATTATTAACACATTCTAATTTTGGAACACTTTTCATCACCCCATAATGAAGCTCCATACCCAGTAGCACTCACTTCCCATGTCCTACCATAGGCAACCACTAATTTGCTTTCTGTATCTATGTATAGAATTACATAATACATTTTTTATGTCTGCCTTCTTAATATAATAATATTTTCAAAGTTCACTTATGTTGTAGTACAAGGGTGCTTCAAAATGTTTGTGGGAAATAGGATTTTATCTTCGTGCAGAAAATTTTGAAATTCATGTATACAAGAAGTCTTCAGAAAGTTCCTGAAAAATGTGTATTATGAGCAAACTATGTAGATTAAAATTTTTTTTTTAATTTGAAAGGCCGAAATATAGAGGATGAAAAAGTGACAGGTGTTCCAAGCAGCATTTTAACTGCTGTTCCAGATGCTCACCCCCTCAAAATTTTTTTGCACTCAAATAAACTTTTTTTCCATTTCCCATAGGTCTTTCGAAGTACCATCATGTGTTTCAGTGTTTTGTTACTTTTTGTTGATAATATTCCATTGGTCACATTTTATTTATTCATTGGTCAGTAGACATTTGAGTTATTTCCATTTATGAATAAGGCTACTTAAAAACATTGATGTACAAGTTTTTGTGTGGATTTATGTTTTCATTTCTCCTGGTTATATATCAGGTCACGTAGTAGGTAACTGTTTAATTGGTGATTCTATGTTTAGTTGGCTGAGGAATGGTCAGATTGTTTTCCAAAGAGCCTGAACTATTTTACAGTTTTACCAGCAGTGTATATGGGTTGTGATTTTTCAATGTCTTCACCAATATTTGTTACTATTTATCCTTTTGATTATAGGCATCCCAAGTGGGTTTTATAAAGTGACAACTCATTGTGTTTTACGTGTATTTTCCCTGTCACCAATGTTGAGCACCTTTCTGTGTGCTTATTGGCCATTTGTATGTCTTTTTTGGAGAATGTGTATTCAATTTATTCTGCCCAATCATTTATTTGAAAGGCTAAGCAATAGAGAGAATCTTCCACCCACTGGTTTACTCCCCAAATGGCAACAACAGCTGAGGTTGGCCAGACCAAAGCCAGGAGCTCAATCCAGGTCTCCTACATGGGTGGCAGGGACCCAAACATTTTACTGTTTTACATTCTCAGTAGCAGTGTATATCATCTTTTACTTTCCCAGCACAGTAGCAGGAAGGTAGATTGGAAGCAGAGCAACCAGGACATGAACCAGCGCTCCAATAAGGGATGCTGGCGTCTCGAGCAATGGCTTAACCTCTGTGCCACAATGTCTCCCCATTTTGTCCATTTTTAAGTTGGATTGTGTTTTTATTGATTTTTTTTTCAGTGCTCTTTACATTTTCTGATTATGATTCCTTGTCAAATACATGATTTGCAGGTATTTTCTTGGTATTCTGTGTTGTCTTTTGTGTTGTTGTTGGTATGTCCAATACAAAGTTTCTCATTTTGGTGAAGTTCAATTTATGTTTTTCTTTTTTTTTCATTTTATCTTTTTTTGACAGGCTGAGTGGATAGTGAGACAGAGAGAGACAGAGAGAAAGGTCTTCCTTTTGCCGTTGGTTCACCCTCCAATGGCTGCCGCGGCCGGTGCACTGTGGCCGGCGCACCGCGCTGATCAGAAGCCGGGAGCCAGGTGCTTTTCCTGGTCTCCCATATGGGTGCAGGGCCAAGCACTTGGGCCATCCTCCACTGCACTCCCTGGCCACAGCAGAGAGCTGGCCTGGAAGAGGGGCAACCGGGACAGAATCCGGTGCCCCAACCGGGACTAGAACCTGGTGTGCCGGCGCCACAAGGCGGAGGATTAGCCTGCCTATTGAGCCACGGCACCAGCCTATGTTTTTCTTTTATCAGTTGTGCTTTTCATCGCATCTAACTAACCATCACTTAATCCAAAGTTATGAGATTTACTCCTGTGTTTTCTTTGAAGAATGCCGTGGTTTTACTGTTGTATTTAGATCTTTGTTCTGTTTTTACTTCATCTTTCTATATGGTGTGTGTGTGTGTGTGTGTGTGTGTGTGTGTGTGTGTTGCAGGGGGCAGCATCCAACTTCATTCCTTTGCATGTAGTGTTAAAAAAGACTGCCCTGGGGTAGGTGTTTGGTGCAGTAGTTAAGATGCTACTTGAGATTTCCTGCATCCCATATCAGAGTGCCTGGGTTCAAGTTTCCCCTCCACTTCTTTTTTGACAGGCAGAGTGGACAGTGAGAGAGAGAGACAGAGAGAAAGGTCTTCCTTTTGCCGTTGGTTCACCCTCCAATGGCCGCCGCTGCAGCCGGCGCACCGCGCTGATCCGATGGCAGGAGCCAGGAGCCAGGTGCTTTTCCTGGTCTCCCATGGGGTGCAGGGCCCAAGCACCTGGGCCATCCTCCACTGCACTCCCTGGCCATAGCAGAGAGCTGGCCTGGAAGAGGGGCAACCGGGACAGAATCCGGCGCCCCAACCGGGACTAGAACCCGGTGTGCCGGCGCCGCAAGGTGGAGGATTAGCCTATTGAGCCACGGCGCCGGCCTCCCCTCCACTTCTAATTCCAGCTTCTGGCCAGTGTGTATTCAGGAAGGCAACAATGATGGCCCAAGTACTTGGATCCCTGCTGCCTACATAGGAGTCCCAGATTGATTTCCAGGCTTCTGGCTTCAGACTGGCCCAGCCCTGGCTGTTACAAGCATTGGGTAGTGAACCAGTGGGTGGAAGATCTCTTTGTCTCCGTCTTCTTTTTAAAAAAGGACTATCCTTTCCCCATTGTGTGTTCTTAGTTCTGTCAAAAATCAAGTGACCATAAATATGAGTTTACTTCTGGACTCTTCAATTCTATTAAAAAATTTTTTGCTTCAGTGCAGCTCAGAGCCTTTATTTCTGAGGTAATGATGGTACTATTCACCAAGTACTCTTGTGAAAAATAGAGATTTTGTTACTAAAATTTTTATATATCTGTATTTTCTGTAATTTTCACTTGTGAACAAGGTAAGCTTGGTTGATTCTATTTCAAATTTTCTCTTTTATGAGGTGTATTGAGTTCTATATTTTTTATTATTTTCAATATCTCTAGTAACTTTTTCTACTTTGAGATGGGGTTATTGAAGCAAACTGCTTTAGAAATATTGCTTTTCTGTTGTAGTAAAGTTACCCTTCAAGTAATGGTGTGACAACAGTAAATATTGTTATTTTGATTTTTACCTATTTATTTTATCATAGGTGATCCTTTCAAGGATGATCCTTTTGGAAAAATTGGTTAGTATATTATTGAATTCCACCTTGGGTTAAAATTCAGTTCTGCTTAATACAAACTTACGTTGTATTTAAGAGTGGTAGATCACAAGCTGGGTAGTTAGAGGAAATGGACTTCCTTTTTGCATGTAGTCTTGAAATTGTTAATCTTTGCCTCAGTAGGAGCTTTAGTTTGTGCCTGTCATATTCAGAAAGAGAGTGGTAGATTCTTGTGAATTTTCTTAGTAAACCTTAACTTTACCTTTTAAAAAAAGAAATAGTATTAATAATGCTTTTTTTTTAATGGTAGAATCTTTTTTTTTATTTAGTAAACATAAATTTCCAAAGTACAGTTTATGGATTACAATGGCTCCCCCCCCATAATTTCCCTCCCACTCGCACCACTCCCATCTCCAGCTCCCTCTCCCATTCCATTCACATCAAGTTTCATTTTCTTTCTTTCTTTCTTTCTTTCTTTCTTTCTTTCTTTCTTTCTTTCTTTCTTTCTTTGACAGGCAGAGTGGACAGTGAATGAGAGAGAGACAGAGAGAAAGGTCTTCCTTTTGCCATTGGTTCACCCTCCAATGGCCGCCGCAGCTGGCACACTGTGGCCGGTGCACCGCACTGATCCGAAGCCAGGAGCCAGGTGCTTATCCTGGTCTCCCATGGGGTGCAGAGCCCAAGCACTTGGGCCATCCTCCACTGCACTCCCTGGCCACAGCAGAGAGCTGGCCTGGAAGTTGGGCAACCGTGACAGAATCCGGCACCCCGACCGACACTAGAACCTGGTGTGCCAGCGCCGCAAGGCGGAGGATTAGCCTATTGAGCCGCGGCGCCGGCTAAGATTCATTTTCAATTATCTTTATATACAGAAGATTGATTTAGTATATATTAAGTAAAGATTTCATCAGTTTGCACCCACACAGAAACACAAAGTGTAAAATATTGTTTCAGTACTAGTTATAGCATTACTTCACATTGGACAACACATTAAGGACAGATCCCACATGAGAAGCAAGTACACAGTGACTCCTGTTGTTGACTTAACAATTTGACACTCTTGTTTATGGCGTCAGTAATCTCCCTAGGCTCTAGTCATGAGTTGCCAAGGCTATAGAAGCCTTTTGAGTTCGCCGACTTCGATCTTACTCCGACAGGGTCGTAGCAAAGTGGAAGTTCTCTCCTCCCTTCAGAGAAAGGTACCTCCTTCTTTGATGGCCCCGTTCTTTCCACTGGAATCTCACTCACAGAGATCTTTCATTGAGGTCTTCTTTTTTTTTTTTTTTTTCCCCAGCATGTCTTGGCTTTCCATGCCTAAAATACTCTCATGGGCTCTTCAGCCAGATTCGAATGCCTTAAGGGCTGATTCTGAGGCCAGAGTGCTATTTAGGACATCTGCCATTCTGTGAGTCTGCTGTGTATCCCGCTTTCCATGATGGATCATTCTTTCCTTTTTTGATTCTATCAGTTAGTATTAACAGACACTAGACTTGTTTGTGTGATCCCTTTGACTCTTAGACCTATCAGTGTGATCAATTGTGAACTGAAATTGATCACTTGGACTAGTGAAGAGAGGGAGGAGATGTACAGTTTGGGACATGCTCAATCGGACTTGCCCCAAATGATGGAGTTAGAATCATGCCAGGGGATTCCAATACAATCCCATAAAGGTGGCATGTACCAATGCCATCTCACTAGTCCAAGTGATCAATTTTAGTTCACAATAATAATGCTTTTAGTAACATTTAATTTCTTCTTAGTAGCTAAAGATTAGATGATCATAATGATCTACATTACTACAAGGTTTAGAACATAATATTTATTTTCATGTAATTTTATTATTCATGTAAATGAGAGAAAGGAAGCATCTTGAAGAATTACTAAATGTTAAGCTTTTTAAAAATATATTTACTTATTTGAAAGGCAGAACAAAAGAGAGAGAGAGACCCATCCATCTTGCATCAACTAATTCATACCCCAGATGGCTACAACAACCAGGTCTAGATCAAGTCAGGAGCCAGAACTGCCATCCATAGGTGCCAGGGGCCCATGTACTCGGGCCATCTTCTGTTGCTTTCGCAGGAGAACTAGCAGGAATCTGGATTGGAAGCACAGCAACCTAGACTTGAATCAGCACTCTTACAGGAGATGCTTGCCTTACCAAGCAGTGGCTTAACCCACTGCACTGCAATCCTGGCCCCACATCAAGCTTTTTAAGATATTCTGTTTCTTGGATTATTTTTATTAAGATGAAGCACATCTTGTTTATCATTTAGTTTAGAAGTTTTTGTCATTTTCTTCAGTTTTCAATAGCATAGAATAAGGATACTTAAAATTAGGTCCCAGGGTAAGGTATGTGGCATAGTGGTTAAGACATTGCTTGGGATCTCCTCATCTCATATAGGAATGCGTAGGTTTGGGTTCTACCCTGATACCCTGGGAGGTAGCAGATGATGGCTCAAGTACTTGGGTCCTTGCCAACCACATGAGAGACACAGACTGAGTTCCAGGCTCCTGGCTTCAGCCTGGCCCAGCCTCAGGTATTGCAGTCATTTGAAGATTGAACCAGTAGATGAAAGGTCTCTGATTGTCTGTCTCTTTCTGCCTTTCAAAAAAAGAAAGAAAAAAAAAGTCATTTAAAATTGATATACCATTTTTAAAAATAGTGTATTAGATAAAAGGCTGTGTCTTTTCTATCAAAATCACAAAGTAATCTGAAATTAAAAGTGCCTAACTTAAATTCTGCAGAAGTTCAGAATACCTTTTATTTATTTTTTAAAAATGTTTTTGCTTTGCCAGACCTTTTTTTAAAGAGTTATTATTTTCTTTTTTGTTTGAAAGGCAGAGTGACAAAGAGGGAGGGAGACACAGAGAGAAAGAGGTATTCCATTCGCTGGTTCACTTCCCAAATGGCTACAATGGCTGGGGCTGGGCCAAGCCGAAGCCAGGAGCCTGGAGTTCCATCTGGGTCTCCCACATAGGTGGCAGGGTCTAAGCACTTGGGCCATCTTCCACTACCTTTCCAGGCACATTAGCAGGGAGCTGGATCAGAAACAAAGCAGGCCGGCACCATGGCTCAATAGGCTAATCCTCTACCTGGCGGCGCTGGTACACTGGGTTCTAGTCCCAGTCGGGGCACCGGATTCTGTCCCGGTTGCCCCTCTTCCAGTCCAGCTCTCTGCTGTGGCCAGGGAGGGCAGTGGAGGATGGCCCAAGTGCTTGGGCCCTGCACCCCATGGGAGACCAGGAGAAGCACCTGGCTCCTGCCTTCAGATCAGCACGGTGTGCTGGTCGCGCGCACCAGCCATGGCGGCCATTGGAGGGTGAACCAACGGCAAAAGGAAGACCTTTCTCTCTGTCTCTCTCTCTCACTATCCAATCTGCCTGTCAAAAAAAAAAAAAAAAAGAAAGAAACAAAGCAGCCCAGGATTCAAGCCAGCCCTCCGGTTGGGATACCAGCATCACAAGAAGCAGTGGCTGTGCCACAGTGCCAGCTCCAAGAATGTCATTGAATTAAGGCAATGATCATGTCATTAGGTGATTGGAGATTTAGTACAATGGGGGTTTTTTGGTCTCATATATTGTACTTTGTTTTCTTAGATCCATTTGGTGGTGATCCCTTTAGAGGTTCTGATCCATTTGCATCTGACTGCTTCTTCAAGCAATCTTCTACTGATCCTTTTGCCACTTCAAGTACTGACCCTTTCAGTGCAGCCAGCAACAGCAGTAATACATCGGTAAGTATGACATTAAATGTGTAATAAGTGTCCTAAGTGAGTTGCTTAAGCTATACAATGATGAAAGAATCATCATTTGGATTATTTCTACTAGGCCTTCCAGTTTTTGCTTCGGACTGGTGTTTCATAGTTTGATCACCCCCTTTGTATTGACTGTAAGAAATTACTTTGTAAAAAAAGTAAGTGCATTCTTCAAGGGACCCATTGAGGATATTAAACATACATAATTAGGAAATTCTTTTTTTTTTTTTTTTTTTAATTTTTGACAATGCAGAGTGGACAGTGAGAGAGAGAGACAGAGAGAAAGGTCTTCCTTTGCCGCTGGTTCACCCTCCAATGGCCGCCGCTGCAGCCGGCGCACCGCGCTGATCCGATGGCAGGAGCCAGGATCCAGGTGCTTTTCCTGGTCTCCCATGGGGTGCAGGGCCCAAGCACCTGGGCCATCCTCCACTGCACTCCCTGGCCATAGCAGAGAGCTGGCCTGGAAGAGGGGCAACCGGGACAGAATCCGGCGCCCCGACCGGACTAGAACCTGGTGTGCCGGCGCCGCAAGGTGGAGGATTAGCCTATTGAGCCACGGCGCCGGCCTAATTAGAAAATTCTAAGCTAGTCTTAAGGAAAGCTTTTCAGAAATGTTTGGTGTTTTACTGAAGTGACTAACATTACTTTAAAAGTAATATCGGGGGCTGGCATGATGGTGGAGCAGGTTAAGCCCCTTCTTGGGATTGCTCCCATCCCATATTAGAGTGCTAGTTCAGGTCCTGACTGCTACTGTGCTTCTGATCCAGCACTATGCTAATGCACCTGGAAAGCAGCAGGTGATGAATCAAGTGCCTGGGTGCCTTCTGATCACCTGGGAGACATGGATAGAGTTCCTATCCTGGTTTTGGCTTGACATAGCCCCTGCTTTTGTAGCCATTTAGGAAGTGAAATCAACAGATGCAAGATCTCTCTCTTTCTCTCTCTCTTTCTCCCCCTCTCTCTGTTGCTTTGCCTTTTGAATGAATGAATGAAACAATATTGATCTTCTAGAAAATAAAATCCTTTGTTATTTTATACTCTCTTTCGGAATGTTAATCTTGTAAAAAAAATAGTGCAAATTCTCACCAAATCTCAGGCTCTCTTCAGAATGTACATACCTACAACAACAGACACTGTTTAATAACTGTGTACTATGTATATTCAGTGCTTTTGTGTGCTTTACATTCATGTTTTTTCTTATCTTCACAACAACCTTGCAGAGAAGGTCTTGGTGTCCTTATTTTAAAAATAATGACACTGGAAGAGTGAGCGTTGTAGTATAACAGGTTTGGCGGTTTGGCTGCTGCATGAGATGTGTGCATTCCTTATCAGAGTGGCATCTTGAGTCCTGGTTCCTCCACCTCCAATCCAGCTTCCTGCTAGTGTGCCCGGAAAGACTGTGGATAATGACCCAAGTACTTGGGTCCTCGCCACTCATGTGGAAAACCCAGATGGAGTTCCTGGATCCTGGCTTTGGCCTAACCCAGTCCTGATTGTTGCAGGCATTTGGAAGTGAACCAAATTTCTCTTTCTCCCTCTCTGTCACTCTGCCTTTAAAATAAATAAATGAATTAAATCTTTCATATATATATATGTATGTATGTATGTATAGGGACGGAGAGGAGCGGGTAGAATGGCCACAGACATTTAACCTAATGGTTAAATACCTATGTCCCATATTGAAGCACCTAGGTTCAGTCTTCAGTTTTGACTCCTGATTCAACTTCCTGCTAATGCCGACCCTGGGTAGCCACAATGATGCCTCAAGTAATTTGGTTTCTGTTACCGACATGACACACCTGGATAGTCTTTCTGGTTCCCTGACTTGGAACAGACCATTACAAGAATTTGCAGAGTGAAGTAGCAAATAGGTGCTCTTTGTTTCTGCTTCTCTGTCTCGACATCTCTCAATTTAATTAACTAATATTTATTTTTTAAAAAATATTTATTTGTTTTTATTTGAAAGTCAGAGTTACAGAAATAGAGGGAGAGACAGAGAGAGATCTTCCAACCACTGGTTCACTCCCGCAGATAGCTACAACAACCAGGACTGGGCCAGGGAGAAGTCAGGAGCCAGGAGTTTCATCCAGGTCTCCCACATCGTTGCAGGGGCCCAAACACTTGGGCCATCTTCCGATGCTTTTCCCAGGTCATTAGCAGAGAGCTGGATTGGAAGTGGAGCATTGAGACTTGAACTGGTGCCCATATGGGATGTTGGCACTGCAGGTGGCGGCTTTACCCGCTACACCATAGCACTGGCCCCAACATTGTTCTTTTCAAAAATTAATTAGTTGGGGCCCGCGTTGTGGAGCAGCAGGTAAAGCTGCCACCTGCAGTGCCAGCATCCCATAAGGGTGCCGGTTTGAGTCCCAGCTGCTCCATTTCCGATCCAGCTCTCTGCTATGGCCTGGGAAAGCAGTAAAAGATGACCCAAGTCCTTGGGCCCCTGCACTTGCATGGGAGGCCTGGAAGAAGCTCCAGGCTCCTGGCTTCAGATCAGTACAGCTCCAGCTGTTGCTGCCATCTGGAGAGTGAACCAGCGGATGGAATACCTCTCTCTCTCTCTCTCTCTCTCTCTCTCTCTCTCTACCTCTCTGTATTTCTGCCTTTCAAATAAATAAATCTTTTTAAAAAAAAAAAAAAAAAAATTGTCACTGGAACTTGGAAAACTTAACATGTCCAGGATCATACAACTAATGCTTTGCCATCTGGAAGCTTAAACAGACAAACAAAACACTTTATATTTGGGGTATTTAAAAATACTAAAAAATAACATAATTAAATGTTTTAATAAATTCCATATATCCATCATGCAATTTCAGTAATTACAAATGGCTTGAGAGAGATTTTTTTTCTTGTTTTTATTTGGAGTCTTTTGGTTGTTTTTAGACAACAGTTTCAGGTCTGAAAATAACTGGACTTAGAAAGGAAAAGGTGATTGACAGGCATTTGAAGAAAGGAATTTTTGTATTCTAATATTCTTACATTAAGAATACTTGCCTTAGAGTGGGCATTTAGAATAGTGGTCGAGATGCCACTTAGAACATCTGCATTCCATATCAGAGTGCCTGGGTGTTTTTTTTTTTTAAAGATTTATTTATTTATTTGAAAATCAGAGTTACACAGAGAGAGGAGAGGCGGGGGGGGGGGGGGTCTTCCGTCTGATGGTTCACTTCCCAGATGGTGGCATCGGCTGGAGTTGCACCGATCTGAAGCCAGGAGCCTCTAAGAGCTGCTTCCAGGTCTCCCACGCAGGTGCAGGGGCCCAAGGACTTGGGCCATCCTTCACTGCTTTCCCAGGCCACTGCAGAGAGCTGGATCAGAAGAGGAGCAGCCGGGACTAGAACCGGCTTCCATATGGGATGCAGCACTTAGGGCATTAACCTGCTGCACCACAGCCCTGGCCCCTGAGTGCCTGGGTTTGAACCCAGGCTCCATTTTTGATCCAGCTGCTGCTGCTGCTGCTGCTGCTTCTTTTTAAGATTTATTTTATTTATTTGAAAGACAGAGTTACAGAGAGGGGTAGAGCCAGAGAGAGAAAGGTCTTCCATCTGCTGGTTCACTCCCCAAATGACTGCAAAGGCCAGAGTTGAGCTGATATGAAGTTAGGAGCCAGGAGCTTCCTCCAGGTCTCCCACGCTGGTGCAGGGGCCCAAAGACTTGGGCTATCCTCTACTGCTTTCCCAGGCCTTAGTAGAGAGCTGGATCAGAAGTGAAGCAGCTGGGACTCGAACCAGTGCCCATAGAGGATGCTGGCCCAGCAGATTGGGGCTATAACCCACTGTACGACAGCGCTAGCCCCATCCAGCTTCTTCCTAATGTGTCCCTTGGGAGGCAGCAGGTAATGGCTCAAGTAGGTTGGGACCTGGATTGAGTTCCTGACCTCTTATTTCCATCCTAACCCAGCCCTGGATGTTACAGGCTTTTATAAGGTGAACCACCAAGCTCTCTCTGTTTCTGACTCTCAAATAAATTAAACAGTTTTTAAAATATTTAAGAATACTTCCTTATAAGAATAATTGATTCTGCTTTAGTATTCTCAGATTACTTCCTTACTGTATTCAGTAAAGAGCTACTTGGCCATCAGCTGGTATTTTCCATTGATGTAAAACTGGACAAATACCTCTGTAAGTGAATATTTGTGGTTTCCACAGGCTACAGGATACTCTGTTTTCCTACCACTTAGTTTGCAATGTGGGCACATTTGGCAAATTTTTCTAAAGTTAGATACAACCTGCTTTTTTTTCTTCTCACCTTCTTAGCCTAGCCATTCATTTCACATTCTTTTCATTTTAAGAATAAGTCAAATCAGTTCTTACTAATTTAAAAATAACATATACCTCTATTCTTCCCTAAGTAAGATATTTTTCTTTTATGTAATTTAGTTACCTAACAGACAGATATCCCATCCACTCATTCACTGCCCTACCCACACACACCTCCAACATGCCTGCTACAGCCAGTAATAGGCTAGGCCAAAACCGGGAGCAAAAAACTATCTGGGTCTCACACAGGTATAGGAGAGACCCAGCCATTTGAGTCATCACCTTCTGCCTCCCAAGGTGCACACCAGCAGGAAGCTGGAATCAGGAGTAGAGTAGGACCAAATCTAAACACTTTGATATGAGATGCTGGCATCCCAAAAGGCATCTCAACCACTATGCCAAATGACCACACCTGGTGAAATTTTTCTGCCATTTGTCCTTCTTACTCTTTTTTCTTCCTAGTCCTTTTTAAAATTTATTTACTTACTGGAAAGTCAGAGTGACAGAGGCAGAGACAATGAGAAGTCTCCCATCTGCTGCCTCACTCCCCAAATGGCCACAGGGGCCAGGACTGAGCCAAGCCAAATGCAGGAGCCTAGAACTCCATATGTTTCTCCCATGAGAGCTGCAGGGACCCAAGAACTCAGGCTGTCTTCCTCTGCATTCTCAGTAAGTAGAGTAGCTGTGACTCAAACTGGCAGTCCAGTGGGGAAT